GTAAAAAAAATTTATACAAATAATATATAAAAGTATCTAAAATATTAGTAATTAGACAGGTGAAATTTAGATTTTTAAAGAAAATCTAAATAGATAATGGATTTATAGTAGTAATTAGACATTTATTTATTTATCTTTAAAGTTGTTACGATAGATGAGGGATGTGATTTTTTTGCCTCGTGGAGATGGAATTTTGTAAGCTGGGTTATGAAATTTTCTTAAACTCGTCCATATTTATGCCATGAGTTTTTTAAAGCTGGTATATAAATTTTTTGTAAAAAAAAAAAACTTTCATAAATCATTTGATTTGGTATTTTCGAAGAGTTTCATTAATTTAAAAGTGTAAAATAAATAAATAAATAAAAGTACAACAGAAAAAGTTACACCCAATTGTATGGAGAATTAAACTAAATTCAATTTTGTAGGATGCATTAAATATTGATTAGATTTTATATGTAAAATAAAATAAAAATAACTGGAATAGTTTTACGTGTTGCAATATTTTATATTTAAAAAAATAAAAAATTTTCTTTTACGTGTTGCATACCAACATTTTAGGAACCACATGGATATTCCTAAATTAATATTGCATACCCAATATTTTAGGAACTAATTAAATATTTATTTGATTTGCATGCCAGAATATTAGATGCATTAATTAAATACTTGATAAAATTATAAATTCATTAATTAAGTTTGACTTTTCTAACTACTATATTTAGTAAATAGGATCCCTTTTAATATAAGTATAGATGTCTTTAATTTTACACCTTCCCTGTTTTTTTGTTTTTTTTTTATCCATTTTAAAATTATTCCTAGGAATTGTAATATTATAACAAGCTCTGTTCGGATAAGTCCAAGTTGATTTTATGTGGTCCAAAGTCAATAAAATGTCCAGAAATTCTATGGCACCACATGTGGCATCACATGTGGCATCATATTATGGTGCCACAACATGATGTGGCACATTATGATTGGTGCCACAAACATGATGTGTGATAAAGAGCACCAATCATAA